TTTGGCCAAGTTACCGTTTGATCATAAATCATAAGGGGCTTCAAAGTTTTTCCTATCACATTTGATACAGAATTGCCTTTAAATGTGTGTAAATTTGCAATGTATGTTTAAAGACCTGTCTTATAACTTTGGCCAAGTCAGAGAAAAAAAACTGTCCGTCAAAAGGCATTTTCGTGGGGAGTCAGTGGGCAAATTTGCCGAGTCAAATGAAGATAATCGCACGCCAGTAATGTCAGATAGGAGGCTCATTCTGGCAACTATTATTTGATCTGTTTTCTGCATTTTTAAACATATTTTTTCGAAAATACAAAAGGCGCCGCGTGGGTTTACAGATATGGTTGCTCAAATTATAGTTAAAATTATATATGTTATATTTTGGTCATTTTAGAAAAAAGTATTGATATATTGTCAAGCGTAAATCTAGTCGATCGTATTTTACTGATATTTTCTATTCATATACGTAAGGACTGTCTTTAATTTGTTTTTATGCAAAATTTCGTCTGTTGAAGATTATTCCGCTTTGAAAATAATAAATTCTTCGAGGCCTCTTCTGATAATTCATCAATCGTTAATTTAGCTGTCGCTCACATTTCTATTATTTGCTTAAAAATACAAATAGCGATACAATGACAATTAAGGTGGGGGTGCCGCATCACATTTAAATTTCACTCATTTTAAAAAGTACCTCTATGATATAAGCAAAATTTATTGCAATATTTACCTTGTCTTATCACAGTAGACTATTCTAAAAAAGTATATAACGATATGAATTTTTATTATATTTAGTAGCATTAAATTTGTGATGTGACAACGGAGCAAATCATAGACAAAATCACAAAGATAAGTCATACACCTTTCGTGAACATCACCCCAGGTCTCAGCCTATAGGCTGATGAACGAGTTAGACTTAGGCTCAAGAGGTAAGTCTAACTCTTTCATCAGCCTCCAGCCTTCGGATCCCTCCAGCTGCCGCCCCATCGCCTCCCCGCCACCAGATCACCTTGTAGCAGCATTAGCAGCAGTCCTCGACTCAACTCTGACTTCGGCTTTATATTTGAATCTGGCCTTGGTTTCAGCTTTGGTTTTATTACAGGTCGACTCTTTCTTTAGCTTTATATGAATAATTCAACTTTGGCTTCGCATTTGGCTTAACATTCTGATTCAACTTTGGCTTACAACTAGGCTTTAAATTCGAATTCGACGCTTGCTTTGGCTTAAGCTTGAACTCTAATAGCCACGCTCTGAAATCATATGCTTCCCCTGTGTTAATCTGACTTTGGTGAAGTTTCAATTCTCTCTTCGAATTTGCGTTTGGCTTCGAATTTAGCTCTGGCTCAGGTATCATATTCTTATTCGAATTCAATTTGTCTTCGGTTTCAGTGTCTAATTCGACTCACTTTGGTATTGGCTTTAAATTCGATTGGCTTTGGCTTTGAATTCGACAGGATTTTTTATGTTAAAGGTTTCTTCAACTATTTAAATTGAATTAGACTTTGAATTTGGCAATTAACTCAAAATCGACTCAGCATTTGGCTTTTGATTTAAATTTGGATTAACTATGGTTTCACCTTTAATATCAAATTTATCTCTATTTTGGGACTTGAAATCAAATTCGACTGTGATTTTGGCTCTATACCTAAATTAAAGTCTGGCTTTGGCTTCAGCTTCGGTTGCAATTTTGAATTCAACATTCGCTTAGGCTTTTGCTTTGGTTCCGATTTCGATTTACTTTGGCTTTGAGTTAAATTAAAATAGTTAACTCTAGGTTTGGCTTCAACTTTCATGTGGAAATGTGGAAACTTGACTTATATTCTGGCTTTGGCTTCAACTGTAAAATAGAATTTGACTCTGGCTTCAGTTTTAAATTTTTAAAATTAACTTACTTTACCTTCACATTCGAATTCGACTCTGGCTTCAGATTCGAGTCAGAGTTTGAATTCAACTCAAACTTAGTCTTCAGATTTTATTTCGGATTTTGACTTCTATGTCGAATTTGCGTCCGGCCATGGTTTTGAATTCGAATTCAGTGATAATTTGAATTTAAACTCAATGTTAGCTTTAGCTTCCCTTTTGAATTGTAAGTCAACTCGGCTTTGGTTTCGGTTGTAAATTCAAAAGCTACTACAGCTTTAGCCTCATCTTCTTTGAAATCAAATTTGAATCTGGCTTTGGCTTTAAATTAGCAATTCCACTCTTTGGCTCCAAATTCGAATTCGACAATACTTTTGACTTTAGCTTTGAATTGGACTCTGGCTTTAGCTATACATACATACATACATATATATATATATATATATATATATATATATATATATATATATATATATATATATATCTCAGGCTTTGGCCCTTAACTCCTGCAATTCGAAAAACTTGACCATCACGTCAAAAAAAAAAAAAAAAAGGCTTGATGCGTGGGTGATGTGACAATGCCGTCATGCTACTACTTGGCTGAAGGCCAGGGTGACAGGACTACGTGTAGAGAAAGCTCTTGGAAGGTGATGAGACTTTCGGTATTTAGGAAGGGGCTTTTCCATTATTTTCACTGATGAACGAGTGTGGAATGCCTGTGATCCACACACACACACACAAAATATATATTATTATAGACAGTCTAAAGAGATTGTGTTGAGTGCAAGGAAAACCGTATATTACCATTTGGATAAAGCAAATTGAATGACAGACAGACATTGGAAAACGGCATAAAAGCTAAAGATGCTTTTGCAAAAGAGACAAAATAATATTCCCACGGGGAGGCAGAGTCTTGCAAGAGTTCGTGTGCCCGGACTCCAAGCCTCACATCGACCAGAGTGGTTCTATTTTAGGCCACGTAATGTTAGTAAAGCATCTGGATCTAACGGGTAAATTCATAATCAACTAGAAAATCAACTCAAATCTGAATTCGATTCTGGCTTGGGCTTCTTCCCTAGTGAAATTTGAATCGGGGTTTGGCTTCAGATTCAGATATGAATTTGGTTCCGCCTTTGGTTTCTGTTTTGATTAACAAAAATAATTGCTTTAACTTTAGATTTAAGAATCAACATTGTCTTCTAAGTTAATTTTGGCTCTGGCTTTAAGTTTGAAGTCGACTGTGGGTTTAGCTCTAGCTTTAAATTTTGGCTTTGCTTGGTTTTGCATGGCTTTGGCTCTTACAGCAACTTAAAAGTATTGTTCAACTTTGGTTTTGGCTTCGGCTTTGAGTTGGAATAAGAATCGGGCTTTGGCTTTGGGTGTAAAATCGGTTTTGATTTTGACTTTAGCTTTAAAAAATCAACTCTGGCTTTGGCTTTGAATTCTTATCCGACTTTTAAATTAGAATTTGATTATAGATCATACCCCCCCATAAGTCTAAGAGGAAAAAGTCAGCAAAAGGATATAAGGATAATAATATTGACGAAATCAACAATAACAATATCAACAAGATAATAACAAATAATAAAAGCCATGGCAAATAAATATTAATAATGTTAATGATTATTATAATAATGATAATAATAGTGTTAGCGACAACAGTAATAACAACAAGAAACAGATTATTCATGTAATCTTGACATCAATAAGTAACAGCAAAATCATCTCTAGCAAGTTGATGCTTTGGTAGGAAAACCCTCAATGCACTATTTACATTTGTTGAAATTTAGA